GCTTTCTTTGTCTCATTTTCTCCTTTGAAGAATGTCATCTCTGTATTTATTCGTAAATGGACTTGGTTGTCTACGCAACGTTCTCTGTAGTTTTCTTTTTCTTTTAATTCATAAACTCTATGTTTTCGAGCAGTCGTAGGTTCCCAGTGACATTGAGGGGAAGGTACGGCGTTTTCCCCGTGTACCCCTTGCCCGTTCGCCGCTCCCACACACACGGCAGCCCCATCCGAAGGGTACATGTGTCACAATTGACGAACCTGCGTGAATCCGTCGTTATCATCAGAAGCCACAGTTGCCATCAGGATTCCCTCTTGGTGTTGTAGGTTCAGTGGATTTGCACAATGTTAGGTGATGTGGGTCCGCCGTGATGGCGTCACTCAGAGTCATCTCCCCAACCGTGAGCATCCTCTGGGCGCCCCGCTCACCCCTCCCTCAGCCCCTGGCGACCACGGATCTAGTCGTTGTCTCTAGTTGGTCGATACCCACACAATAACGTGCTGGCATTGGATTGAGATGACACTGACTCTGTAGATCAAATTGGGACGAACCGTGGCTTTTTTTTAAGTCAAACTATCAGGAGGGAGGGTGAGGTAGATGAGGGTAAAAGGGGATCAAATATACAGTGATGGGAGGAGAACTGACTCTGGGTGGTGGGCACACAACGTGACATGCAGATGATGTGTCACAGAATTGTACTCCTGAAACGTATGTCACTTTCCTAACCGTTGTCGCCTCAATGCATTTCATTTAAAAAATTATAAATGGAAAAAAAGAAGCAATAGCATCAACCTCAGACTCGCTACGTTCTCTAAACCATGAACACCTTCCTGTATCTCCCTCAGGGACAAACTCAAAAGTCTTGCACGTTTTACGTCCTCCCCAAGTGCAAAGCGTCAAACTACACCGTGAATGTCACCACGGTGGATGGGAAGTCGTTTTCCACGTGGATTCGGTACCCGGAGCAAGGTGGGCTCCAAAATGCTCTTTTTGGTTATTTGCATTCAATCATTGATCTTCTGAATATCAGAATAATTACTTATTATTATTTTTTAAGATTTTATTGGGGAATTGGGGAAGGGGAACAGACAAGTTGTTGTCCTTCAGTCTTAGCTGTGGAGGGCGCAGCTAGCTCAGCTCCAAGTCCAGTCGCCATCTGTCCGCTCGTCGGCAGCTCACAGCCGCTCAGTTCAAGGTGCCGTGTTCAATCTTAGTTGCGGATGGGCGTAGCCACCATCCCATGCGGGACTTGAACCGGCAGCCTTGTTGTTAGGGGCATGTGCTCTCACCAGCTGAGCCATCCTGCCACCTGTTGGCAGCTCAGCGGCAGCTCAGCTCGGGCTCAGCTCACTGGCCCATGTGGGAATCGAACCGGCGACCCTGTTGTTTAGAGCTCATGTTCTTAGCCAACTGTGCCACTCGGCCGGCCCCAGAATAATCACTTATAACTTGCATGGATCTCCAGGGATGTAGGCTGAGTAGAAAAAAAAAAAAAGGCCTCCTTGAAGTGATGGAAGTGTAGCAATGGAGAACAGAGTGGTGGGGGTGGGAGGAAAGTGGGTGACCTGAGATAATAAAGGGCCACACGGGGGATGCTTGCGGGAATGGGAGTGTCCTGTCCCCTGAGCGTATGTGTGTCAACATCCTGGTTGAGAGGCTGTCCTATAGTTGGTTCAGGGAGTTACCTCGCGGATGAGGGTGGGGGAGGACCCGGATAAAAGCTACACGGAATGGCTCTGTATTGCTGCTTCCAACTGTGTGGGAATTCACAGGGGTCTCGAGAGGCTAACATCCCTCTAAAAAGGGACGCGTTTTTTTGTTTGTTGTTGTTGCTTTCTTTGCAAGCCCAGAAGGGAACCCTGGGGCAGCCGCCCAGGGCCTGGAATGCCAGGTTCACGATGTGGATTTCCTGACGTGCGGATGGAAGGTGGGCCCCGAGGCCCCCAGCGACGTCCAATATTCCTCGTACTTGGAGAACGTGAAGTAGGTGTGGCCTCGGCGCCGGCGGGGCTGTCCCGGGCGTGGGGCCCCTGGTTCCCTCGTAAACATGTGCTCCTTACAACAGAACGGAAAATAAGTGGGAGTGTCCACGTCACACAGCCAACGGGCTGGGGATTCACGTCCAGTGTCAGTTCAAGGGCCTGTCCAGGTTCCCGCACGTCCAGTACCGTTTCCTGGTGAATGGCAACAGCACGCACTCCAGCATCCCCTGCGCTGAATGTATCATGTACTTGTCACATATCGGTGAGTAAGGTCCCAGGGCTCTCCTGGTCAGCTAACGTAGGAGGCCTTTCCGAGTGACAGGCCACCAGCGCTTATTAGACACCCATGAGAATAGCTCTCCGGGAAGCCCTGATTCGGGCAGAAGCCCAGACGGTGTTCCGATGAGGACACAAAGGCCAGGGGTGTTTATGACAAAGGGAAGGGGGACAGTGACGTCACAAAAGGAAGGCGTCGCTATTGGTGCAGATAACGTGACACAGGGACGCGGATTCTAAACAGTGTTTCTAATTTTCAGTCCAGAGTCATCCGTCCTGTAGTCATAATACCTGCTTTCTTGTTGCCTCTGCAGACAGCTCTTTGGGACACAGTGTTGCTGAGGCCCCGTCCTAAGGTGACTGTGTCCTGTTGTAACATCCGCAGGTTGGAGGCGTCAGACGGGCCAGGCTGGTCCTCTGGTCCCTTCTTCTTAGAAGGACACTAATCCCATCAGGGAGGCCCCATCCTCATGTCCTCATGTCACCCGAGTCCCCCCGCAAAGGGCTCACCTCCTATCACCATCCCACTGGGGTTCAGGGCTTCCACGTGTCTGTGTGCTGGAAGACCCGCACTTTCAGCTCCTCGCAGCCACTGTGTCCACTGCACCAAAGGAAGTGACGTGCGTCACACGTAACGATGGTGCCCTGGCCGGTCCGGCGCAGACCCACCAGGAGGCTGGCGGCTGGGCGTGGGTTGCTGCTGTCCAGCCCCCCTCAAGGTGCTGTGTTCATATGCTGAGCACCAAGCCGCCTTAGGGAAACTCTGCCAGCCGTCTCTTCCTTAGACTCGGCTCCCCCTGCTTGTGACGGCGTGAGGACACACGCCACCTGCACCCGCCCCGCTGTGTCCCCATGTCACGAGCCGTGGTCTGCCCTCTTGACCTGACGGCTGTTTGATTGGCATCCATTGGAGGCCGTGTCCTCTCAGGTCTGGGATGCTCGTGGGCGAGGACAGATGTGCACGTCGCTCCCCACGGGATCTTAGGGCGTGCTCTCACCGGACGCCTGCGTACACACCGGGCTCCCAGTGGGGCTGAGGGGTGCCCCGGGCATGGGGGTACAGGCAGGGAGCCGAGCTGCCTCCGACAGGCATGCCCTGGGCCGTCTCAGGGGGGGCTCTTCTCCAGCTGCACACACCCAGCTGCGCTTTGGGGTGCCCTTCCCTGCCCACTTTCACTTCAGGACTGTCTCCTCCCCGATGCAGGCCGCTTGCCCTGCCTCCTCCTTTGGAGGGGAGAACCCCAGGACAAAGGCAGAAGGAGGGCCCAAAGTCAATGTTAAAAATTCGGGGAGGGGGCTGGGTCCAGGGGGATGCCATTGATGGCGATGAGGTCGGCAGCTGCACCGTCTGCTGAAGAAAGGTTCCGGAAAGGGTGTCGGGGTGCGCAGGGTGCCCGAAACCCTGTGCCGGTGTCTGAGGACCTGGTCGCAAGGCTGACGCCAGCCACCCAGCGCCCCCTACCTTTGTCACCTGTCTATTGATATTTCTGCCCATTGTATGACCCTCGAATGCTTTTCTCTGTTCCCCACCCTTTCCCTGTGAACGTGTAAGAGGCCTATTTTAAAGTGTCTCCGAGAAAAATCGTTTGATTCGTTTTACTGATCGGTGTTTTGTTTTGTTTTGTTTTGTTTTGTTTTTTCCTTTTCTCCCCTAGAGGAATTAAGTCCACCCAACATGACCGTGAGCTGTAATAAGTCCCATTCCGTCATAGAATGGAAAACGCGGAGCCACTTCTACCGCAAGATTGAGTATGAACTCGAAATTCAAAAGGTAACACGCTTGCCCCGAGGGAGCACTGTTGGGGAGCATCTGTATGCTGGGGCTTTGAGGGTCAAACACACACACACACACACACACACACACACACACACAGATCAATATAGCGATCATGAAAAAGAAAAAGGTCGCTTTCACCACACGAAAAGCGTTGGCGATTCGAAACACACAAGGAAAATGGAAAGGCAAGTTATAGGATGGAGAAAAATACTTGCAGACAAATCTGTCTAAGGAATGAGGTTGGAGGAAGGTGAGAAATTCTTCCAAGTCGGTGGTAAGCAGACAGACAGCCGTGGAAACGTGGGGGAGGTATTTAAGCAGACAACCCCCCGCCCCCTGCCAGAGAAACAGACTCAGATACAGAGAAAAAGCTGATGGTTCCCACAGTGGAGGGGGTGGAGGGATGCGAATAAAAATAAACCGAGCAACAAGCAGACAGCTCCCCAAAGAACATGTAGAAATGGCCATGAGCACACGACAAAGATGCTCAACCTCCTTAGTCATCAGAGAGCTGCAAGTGAAACAGAGAAGGCGTGCTCAGCTGCCACCAGTTAGAGGCCAAAGGCAGGACGTGTGGCCAAACCGGGCGTTGTCGGCGAGGCTGAGATGGGGGAAACCCTTCGGGGTCACTGAGGACGATGAAAATGGTCCAGGCGATGCTTTGGAAACCTGAGGCAACAGTTTCTAAAGCCGGCAGTTTCCACAGGGAGCATCAGCTGGACACAAGGTCCGGACTGAAGGGTCCCGTTTCTATAAAATCGTACAGGGCGGGGACTGACCGCTCGGGAAAGGTTGGTGCTGTGGGCACGGGGCAGTGGTTGGGGAGCACAAGGAAATTTGGGGGCGATGCAAATGCGTGTTGCTTTGCGTGTCCTGCTGCACACGTGTCACGCGCACACATGGGTCCAAGCTCTCCGAGTCCTGAGTTTTCAACATGCGGTGTGCTCCCTGCCCGTCACGCGGGATAAAGTCAGGGGAGAAAAATGGATCTGGGAGCTCAGCAGAGTCCTGTGCTCAATTATCTACCATTCTACTTATTTACGGGTTACATTTATGAATGCTTTCCACTCAATGACTGGTGACTCCATCAGCCACTTTTCTCTCAGCTTAAAACAACTCCAAGAAAACGGAAAGTGTGCAGACCAAAATGACCACGTAGTTTTGGGCTAATTGGTAATTTTTTACCCAGTGATTTACTTACATTTGTCATTGTATTTACGTATTGATTATTTAAACATAATTAGTACTTATAGTCAATTTTTCTATAAACGTAACACTCCTCAAAAAAACCCTATTCATTAATTAAATTTAAAAGCATCAAGTATTTTTTAGTTAGTCAGAATTTTATGCTCAATGATTTACTTATATTTATTTATGATTTTTATGTACCTATTTGTCTGTTATTTATTATTTATAACTCAATTCGTGATTAGTTTCTACTCAGTTTTCCTAGAAACCTAAAACTGCTCAAAGAACCCTAAAATTTAGACGAAAAGAAAATGACCCAGTGTTTTTGAGCTAATTGGCATTTTATACTCGATTATTTACTTATACCTATTCATTGTTTATTTACCTAGGTATTACTTATATTCAATTTGTCTGTGAACCCAAAACTACTCCAAAACAAAAACAAACACAAATCTATCAATTTTTTAAAAGCCCAAGTATTTTTCAGGTCATTGGCATTTTATACTCATTTACTTATATTTATTATTTGTGTATCATATTTATATATTATTGATACTCAACTAGTGATTCTACTCAATGTTTCTGTAAACCTAAAACTACTGGAAAAAAAGGCTATTATTTTTATTTAAAAAAAAGACCAGGTTGTTTTTTTTGTTGTTGTTAATCCATACTTAATTATTTTTTTTACATTTATTATTTTCATCTTATATTTATTGTTTATATTCCTTTACTGATCATGCTATACCCAATGGTCTGTTGATATTTGTGATTTTTTTTATTGGTTTACGTGTTATCTTTATCGTTTCCTCTCCATTAATGATTATTCTACACCCAATTACTTATTATTTGGTTGACTTACGTGTGATACTTAGGATTTATACGCTATTACAGATCGTTTTATACTCAGTTTTTCTGTCACCCTAACCCTGCTCAAACAAAGGGGGGGCCTTTGCAGGGGACCAGGCTGGGCACCCAGGGCTGTCGGCTTGTGTTTTGCAGGGCACAGACGATCCCTACACACAGAAGGTGAGTGCCCCCTGTCCTCGTGCCGTGGGCATCGCAGAGTGCAAGTCGGTGATTTGTATGGCTGTCTGGTAGCTCCCACATGGGTCACCCGCCCTGACAGCAATGTTTGTATCGAGGGACGGGCAGTCGGGGTGAAGGGCATGGAGCCCCCCAGTCGACAGACCCAGACCGCACCGCCCCCCCATCCACCCACCGCCATATCCCATAGGCTGGCCCTCCTCTCAGACCCCACACTCAGTCCCATCTGCACAGACCCCGTTTCCAGACACGGTGTCGTCCGCAGGTTCTGTGGGACCCATCTTTCTGGGGATGTGGGGACACCATTCAGCCATCTGCACAACACCCCACAGAGGGCACCTCGTTGGTGCCGGCCATGAATGACTTACTGCGCAGTGATGATAAACAGCAGTGGTGACACCGAGGGCCTGGGCTGACACAGAAGGGGGCTCCAGGGCCCCGCGACTCTGAGTACCAGGCCCCCTTTGAGCTACTCCCTGGGGCGGCCATAACAAGTCCCACAACTGCCTTAAAAACAACCCAAATTCATCCTCATTCTGTCCTGGAGACCAGGAGTCTGCCATGCACGTGTCCCAGGGTTGGGGGGGGGTCCCTCCTGCCTCTTGCAGCTCCTGGGGGCTCCTTGACTTGCGGCCACATCCATCCAGTAGCCACCTGGCATTCTCCCTGCGCGCATGTCTGGGTCCCAATTTCCTGTGTTTATAAGAAAACCAGCCTATGGGATGAGCCCCCCGCATCCAACTCCTCCTAAGTCATCGCATCAGCACGGACCCCGTCTGCACAGCTGGTCTCCGGAGGCGCTGGGGGTTAGGACTGCCACGTCCGAATCCGAGGACCACCCCTCCACGCAGTGTGGGACCCCGTCCTTCCCTCCCCACGGATGGCAATGGCCTTGTCTCCTCTCTTTTGCTTTCCACTCCAGGCCCACTTGAAAACCTCCCTCATCCTAAGCAGCCCCGGAGTCTACACGGTCAAAGTCAGGGCCATGGTGCTGCGCTACACCAACCAGAAGAAGGGCACCAGCCAGTGGAGTGCCCCGCAGCGCATCGGTGAGTGGGCGCACGCAGCCCCAGGGGGTGGCTGCCACCCACAGAGGGACTGGGTGGCACCGCGCCTGCTTCTTTGTCTCCAAAGAGGGCTCTGAGCGCAACAAGTGACCCTCCCTGCACCTGGCACTCCCTCCATGGGAGGGCAGACGGTGGACACTGTCCCACTACCAGTCACCCTGGGGGCGGGGGGGGGGCGTGCAATAACACGGCTGTCCCCAGGCAATGGGGTCCTTCTCTGTGAGGCAAAAACTCACCCTGGGAAGGAACGCCTCCACTCAGCGCCTGATGAGAAAGGCTCCCCCCAGGGTGAGAGCTCCCCTTTCTCCCTGAGCTGCTCTGAAACCCCCCCCCGCCCCCGATCCCAGGTTCCAGGAACTGTCCGTTCCACAGGTGGCTCAGCAACAAACCTCAGTCACCACAGCGTCAGCGTTTTGCTCTTGACGCCGTCCCCTGATTAGACGAGGCCCACCCACTCCATGGAGAGCAATTTCCTCTTCCTCAATGTGACTGATTTCCATGTTTAGCCCATATTTTAAAAAACAACAACAAACACACAAAACCCTCCTGATGACACCCAGGAGGTGTTTGACCAACTATCTGGGCATGGTGGCCCACCCAAGTGGACACGTAGCATGGACACGGGTGTGTTTTCTCAGGCTCCGGCCGCCGCCCCCGCCTTGCCGCGTGGACTCAGGTTCCCCCAGGTTCCCCTGTCCCCACCGCGGGCTCTGCGTCCTCTGCCTGAGCTCAGCTGTAGGGCTGCCTGTTGCGCTCAGCCGTCAGGAGCTCGCTACGGCCCAAACTCTCAGTCATCGAGATAAACCTTTCCATGCAGTATTATTTTTTTTTTCATGAAAATCCATGCAAAAAACCCATGATGGTCACAGTATCAAATTCAAGGACTTAGGGAGGGAAGGAGCGGGTGGCTCCGCGCAGAACAGACCCGCGTGCCCTCGTCCGCTGCCTGGACGCATGCCCCTCCCGGACGGGTGTGAAGGCAGCGCCAGCGGAGCGCAGGCTGCGGGCGGGGGTCCGGTCCCCCGCACCGGCCAGACCCGGGCGATACCCGCGGTCGGCGCTAGCAGGACTCTGCTCCACGTGTCCCTCCGCGGTGCGGGCATCGGGCTTCTGGCGAGGACGGCTCCAGTGGGAAGGGTCCCCGCGAGTCCCGGCGCGCGCGCAGGTGGCGGCTGTGCCAACCCTGGGGGCTCTGGGGCAGCGCGCGCAGCTGGGTGCCATCTCCACCCCCCCCCCCCCGCCCCGAGTCCCCGGACCGGCCCCGACGCGTGTGCCCCCGGCCTCTGTTCCCCAGCGTGCCACCAAGACGAGAACGCGCCTCTCCACTTCTGGCTGACGCCGTTGCTGATCGCGCTGGCCACGCTGACCTTCGCGGGCTGCGCGCTTCTCCTGTGCAAAAGGTGAGACGCGCGCTTTCGTGTGGGGACGCTCGGTGCGCGTCCCACGCACCGTGCCGCCGCCCCCTCGCTCCGTCCCTCCGGCGCGTCCGGGTCTTGGCGGCCCGGGCGCGCGCGCGCCTGTGCCAGGCCACCGCCTTTCTGAAACGTGACCATCTGGTCACTGCAGGTCATTGGATATTTGCACGCCTGGTCCCCAATGCAGCATTCTGCACCCCCCCTTTCCCTCCGCCTACCCTCAGCGCATGCGGGGAGGGGACGTGCCGCGAAGCTCGCTTTCCCCCACTTTTTGCTTCCTTCACACCTTGCCCAGACCTGCCCTGAACCGACCGCATTCTTCAGGCCGCGGTAGCTGTGGGTCCCCTCCCCCACGCGGCACGCAGCAGGCGGCGGCGTTCCCACGGCCTCCCCCCCGTGACCACAGCCCCTGGCGGCCGGCTCCCTTCCTAGTAGCGCCGGGTGCGCAGCGTTCCTTGCTGAGCTCTGCGCAGGCCCCGAGCCAGCCTCGGGGCCCGTCCCACCGGCTGTGGCTCCTGCCCAGGTGTCTGTCCTGCTCCACCCCCCGAGCCTCCCAGCCCCGTCAGTCAGGTGCCACCGCCCCGGCCCGCGGGCTGGGGTTTAGGAGTGGTCGGGCCACCCAGTCCTGGTAAGGGACCAACCGGCTTCGTGCAGAAGCTCTTGGGAGGGCGGGGTTGCCATGGCGACAGGCCCCTGGGGGAGCGCCCACGAGGGGCAGGTGCCTGAGGACATGGGGCACCAGCTCCGCCCCTGCTAGGGCTAACGCTGCGCTCCCGGGAGCGCACAGGGAGGTCCCAGGGCTGCG